GGGCTTTGGAATCAAACAAACCTGGACTAAAATTTGGCCTCCAGTACTCGCTAACCTTGAGGCTTGTTTTAGTTAAATGCCTTCAGATGTATCATTCATAACATAGGGATAGTAAAATCTACTTTGTTGAGTTAGAGTGAAAAATAACTGAATGAATGTATGGACTGTGCTTTGCATATACATTCAGTAAATAGTAGTGGGTAGAAAATATCTTCCACAGCATATGTAATATGAGCAACATTTATAGCTACTTCCCTCATTCTTAGAAGGGGATGCCAGAGGCACCAAGTAACCTCCAGAGGTGGTCAGAGGACTTTGGAAATGTGCAAATACTATTTCTCACTTTTGGACTGATCTAACTCTAATTTTGCAGTTCTTCTCTAGCAATGCAATTGTTGATGTTTAAAGAGTTTGAACACTGTGTTTTCAAGATTCTCTTTCTTTCAAGAGGAATTCCCTTCTTCTTGAGATTTATCTAAATGAAAGAACTCAAATTTACCAGCAATATAATCTCTTTGCTTGCTATAAAACTGATTTTTCTGCTCTATTTTTAAATTTTTTATTTATTCTCATTTTATATAAAAAAATAACTATGAGGATACTGAGATTATTAAATAAGAGCTAGCAATTGTTCATTTATTTATTAATTAAAAATTAGAAAGATTCATGAAAATATAAAGCCTGGGAATTTCTAAAGATAACTCTACCTCCATTTCTGGTGGGGAGGAAGTGATTTTTGCCTATTCTAAATAATGAGGCTTAACAAAATTGAAAGTTGGCACACTTATGGTAAATAGCATTTTCCTGGTAGTTTGGAGTCCACTGCATTTTTTTTTCAGCCAGACTTCTCAGTATCATTTTGATCTGTAAAACATCAAAGTTTCCTCTGTAATATTTTATTTACATCTTCAGAAAGTCTGAATGGAAAGGAAGTCTTATTTTAATTTAATGAATAATCAGCAATAAAAAAGTCAAAACTTTTACTACAATATTTGGGATTATGACTGGCTACAGGAAAATACATGTAGCAAATTGCACATAGAAAACCTGTAACTTAATATATTTAACTTTGATACTTCCAGAAGATATATCACAGACATTTTAAAAGACGAGAGGATAAAAATGGTAAGAGAAAGAAAGAATACCTCTCAAATTTCTAAATTTAGCCAAAGAGAAAAATAAAATCCTCAATCTTCCTTTCATGTGGCCATTAATTTTTTTTAAAAACTAGCTTTTAACAGACTCACTTGGTTTTCCTCTGGAGACTGTGAATTCTGAAAATAGTACCAACAGGTTAACTCCAAGTATGATGCACTTGAAAAAAAAAAAAAGAGGGGCTCTATTCTTTTGAAGACTCAGAATGGAGAATTCTGAGCATCAACCAACTCAGTATCACACTGAAATTCATATTTATTGCCTACGGCAGCTCTGTTATAATGAAAACATTAGTCTTGGGGACAGAGGAGAAGAGAAACTGTCTGTTGGGGCTTTGGCATGTTCGCCAGTTGCTCATATCATCCCTACCAGACTTTTAAAAAAATATGTCACGTATTAGTCAACCTTTAGGGAATGCTCTCTGACTAACCAACGATCTTAGCTACTTCTATCCTAATGAAACCCTGACTCAAGAACAAATTAAAGCACTAAAGACATATATCTAACTTTTTCCATAAAAGAAAACGAATGTATCACAAGAGTCAAGGATTGAAATGCTGAAGACAACATTATGATTCAGTTTACAGTGACTACAACCTATTCTGTAATCCTTGTGAGATATTGTTTCACATATGCTTTGCCAAGTGTCAATCCTTAATAAATATGCAACACTGACAAGTAAGAAATGTTTTCTGTGGAAAATATAATGATTTGTTTCAAAACATTTACATACTATATTTACATAATTACATAAAATTACAGGGCTTTTTTATGTTCATTTTATATTATATTATTTTATTTTATTTATTTATTATTTATTATTATTATTTATGCCTACAGCACCTGGTCTTCCTAGGTAGTCCCTCATTCAAGTACTAGCCAGGCTCAACCCTGCTTAGCTTCTCAGATCAGACATTGGGCTTCTTCAGGGTGGCATGGCTGTAGAACATGGACCATAGACCATGGCTCCACTGGGGCGCGAACCCAGAACCTTTTGCGTGTAAAGCAGACATGCTAACTGCTACACTATAGAACCACATCCTATATTATTTTATTTTTAATTGAAGAAGAAATAGATAGTTAGTGTATGAATGTGCTTTGAGAAAAGACATCGTGACAATCTATTCATTCTACTAAGATGCAGGAAATGTTGCTAAATCCTGCATGAGTTCTGGGTCTTCAATTATTTTCTTTCATCCCTTTGTAGGTATTATGCAGTCGATTTTTGGCTTCTATTGTCGGTATCGAGAAGCCATTCATTAGTTATCCTGGTTGTTAAAATTGTCTCAATAGTGTTTTTCAGTTCCATAGATGTGTCTAGTCGTGGATTTACTTTGATCTATCTAGTCTAGAATTTATTGTGCTTTTCAAATCTTTCATCAGCTTTGGAAAATCCCTAGCCATTATTTCCTCAAAGATTACTTCTTTTTTATATTTTCCTTTTTCTTCTTTCAAAACACCTATTAGATATATATTGGACATTTAAATACTCTCCTCTACATATCTTAAACTCTCATATTTTTGGTCATTTTGATGTTCTGGGTAATTTTCTTAGCTCTATTTTTTAATTCAGTAATTATTGAGTTGTGCCCAGCCTACTATTGAACCTGCCTGATGAGGTTTTCTTTTTCATAACAATGTCTATATAATAATTATTTCTAGGACTCTTTGGTTTGTTTAAAAATCTCCCTAGTCTTTTTTGATAGTAATTTCTTCCTTTTCAAGTTTTTTATATTTTATATTTTGTATGTTTAATTATAAAAAAATATGGTTTATACTGTATAATTTCTATTATTCAAATTTTTGTGGATCTATTTCTACTTTTTGTTGTTTCTTCTGATTTTTCCTTATGTTGCTTATTTACTTGTGTATCTTATAATTTTGATGTATGAGTTTATATTTGGCTGGGCTTTTTCTGTGGAAATTCTGTAAAGTGTAAGTTGAGAGTATATGTATCCAGAAAGTTTTTGCTTTTGTCTCTGTAAAGTGCCACAAAGCACTACAAATTGGTATTACTTTTTATAAGCTTTTTAAATGCCACTTGGCATTTACTGGTTTTTGAATTCTGAATACCCAACAGAACCTTTTTATTTATCCCATGAGGAGGCCAGACTTAGATAGATTAATTTCCTGTTATACTCCTATTTTGGTAGGAAGGTTTATTTTTCACCTTTTCACTAAAGCTGTGGCCCTTGCAGGTGCTCACTTGACAGAAGGTCCCAGTTTTAACTTCTGCTTCTGCAAGTCCAAGGCTTTGTCTCCATTTTTTGTCGCTATAACACAAGCAACCTGTAATTTTCTGGTTTTATGCCTTTTAATCCATTTTTGACTGCTTGAATTTTCTTTTCTTTTTTTTTTCAAGCTCCCCTATGCATGCTGTTTCATATTTTACCCACTATAAATGGTTTTGTAATGGAGGATTTTTTGGTTTATCTAGGCTGCCATATTACGTAAGTTCCATGGATGTATATACACAAAGAACACATCTTTTAGCCTTGAAGAATCTTTTTCTGCTATGAAGGTAAAATGTCATGGATATTAAACAACTGTGCAGGAATTGTCAGTGGCTTAATGTGTTTGACAGATTGATAGTGGGTGAAACAGCTAAAAATATTATGGTCTATTTTTATTATGCCACCTCAGGCTTTCAGATAAGATTCATAGAATCTTATTTAGTAAGCCATATAGTTAATTAAGTATATAACTTCATATGCTGCTCCAAATATATGTTTTTTTCCAAGATAAGTTTCATGAAAAAAATCCCTCATCTATTGTTGCAAAAAATGGAAGAAAACAACAAACTTTGAAAAACTTATAAGTTGCCGTTTGTGGGTCTGGATTGTCTTGAGTAGCAGCAGGATTATACTATACTCGAGGTTTATAACTCACCAAAGGGACATAAGGGAAAATTCAGTTTTCTTAAATTCTTATTGTCATGGTGAAGCCCTGGTATAATGATTTTGCCAAGAAAACAAACACAGATGCTGACTAAAATCAAACTGTAAACTATCCCAATAAGATGCTCTAAAATGTAAGCAGTACCTAGGACAGCACCTTTGGGCATGACATAATTTTATTTTTATGATGTAAATACAGAATGAGTATTCTGTAAACTAGATCTTTAGAAAAGGTGACGAGTATGGAAATGGAATCCAATTTTGTCTCTTTCTTGGATTTCTTATTATGAAAATATCGAGAAAGTTGCTTTTATAATTTCCTTCAAATCTTTCTTCAAATCTCATCTTCTTAGGGAGGCCATCCTGCCCACCCTATGTGAAACTACAGTTTACTCTTCCCTGTGATCCCCTCCCTACAGCTCAGCACATCCAATGTCCTTATCCCACTCTTTTTTTTCTCTATAGCATTTATCCCTTCTAATGTTTTTATGAATTTATTGTTTATTGTGTTTTTTTCTTTTTTCTTTTGCCTGTCTCCCCCAACTCATCTACCAAGGACAGGAATCTGTGTGTGTTTTGTTTACTAATATATTGACAACAACTAAAATAGTACCTGTCACATAATAGGTACCAAAATTACTTGGGACACAAATGAATAATTTTTTATTTTGCTGCCTATAAGTCAGGGTGATACTTCATGGTCTTTCATTTCCTTACTGAGACATGTGAGTGTGCATGAAATATGTGTATGACATATATATTGATTTATCTGAAAGAAAGTAGCCATTCACAGAATAATACCAATGGCCATGTTTTGAAGCATAAAGTGACCTAGCTTTTAAATATCTTAATGTTTCCACCTTAAATCTATTATTAAGTATATGGCAATTTTCCTTATAATAATATCTCTTCTATACCAACAGAAAATATGTAACATTTAGTACATACCTCATTTTTTTCTTTGAGTTTTGTGATCATAACAATCACGGGACTGTCTTCCTGCCAAACCATCTGCCAGAAATCATTCACGGTGTTGATCATGGGGCCTTGTGTGGCGATGAATGCTTTCTCTTTGCCACTGTAGCCCTAGTTCAAGAAAAGATAATAAAGAATAATTGGCTTTGAACTTCATGCCTTGCACTGAAAGTTTAGGTGAAAGATCTTCAGAACAAAATTGCTTTGCTAGTCCAAAAGCAACACATACATCTGCGGTTTCATTCTAGCATCAAAATTCACATGGCTGTTCTCCAAGCAAGGCAAGCATAGCATATGGTTTTGAGGGTCATAATGCTTAGTCCTCACCAGCATACCTCATCTGGAGCTCTGTAACCATAGATGCACAGGAAAGGGAGGTGCATTATAAAAAAAAACCCACTACCACTGTTGATTATGACTAAGCAAACAACAACAAAAAACTTGCTAGTAACTAAGTTAAGTCAGCATCGATCTACTTTGAGGGGAAAAATATAATCAACAATTCCAAATAGTAAATTGACGTGCCCATCAGAAAGAAATTTATATTTATTTACTTACCCTAATATAATTAGCATTAATGTAGGTGCTCAAAGAATCAGTTACATTTTTTGGTCGTAAACACACTCTGCTGAGGGGATCTATGAAGAAAACAAGAAAGAATACATTAAGCAGATTTATTCTTTTTACAGTTTATTAGAACACCAATGACCGATACATAAGATACCAGTTAATTTACATATTGACTGTCTGACATTTGTCAGTGTTTGTTGTTGGAGCTTCTGTCTTGATCCATCTGTGTATTGAGGGACATTTGGACCCATGTTGACGGCTGTTCCTTATATAAATCTCACCCAAAAGCTTGAGATGGTGAGTTTATACTTCATGTTATTTTTTATGGGTTTCTGATTCTCGATCCCATTTCTCATTTGTGCTCCTTTTCTTGTTCTTTGGGTTTGGAGTTTGCGCCGTATCTCCCTACTCTCATCTCTCTCCTATCCTGCCCAGTGACCAACATTTGGTCTGATCCAAGTCTTCTCTCACTATTTGGAAGAAGCCGTTCTTAGTTACCATGTGTTTTTTACTGACAGCTTGAATATCTGACATTGAATAGATTATTATAGTTCTAGCAGCATTGTCTTAAATTCTGAAATCACTTTCTATCAAGAAATTGAAAGGCTCTTTGTGAAGCATGGTATTATGAAAAATATGGTAGTTATTTTTACCAACATTTATATAAATTAATTAAGATCAAATCACCCTTTTATGATTTTTTTTTTAACCTGGTACACTCCGAGCTTCTCAAAGGCAAGAATATGGATTTTTTATTATCTCTACAAGACTTAGAGTCTAGCACAGTATATGTGTATATGGAAGGGATCACTTAAATCAATACAATAGACATTTAAGACACTCAATAAATGTCTATTGTATTGATTTAAGTGTTCCTTTCCATTTTCTAAAAAGCCGGTTCTATACATTTCTCTCTAGCAGTTGTTCTATTACTCTTCTACTCTTGACAGGTAAATTCTGGGAGTTTATTATACCCACTGTTCCTACCTCCTCATCTACAGTTCAGTTCTCCTTATGTACACTCCAGTCTATCCTAACCCTAGTCTCATGCAGACACTGCTCGTGCGCATGCCACCACTGACCCTTTTGTTACAAAACCCAGTGAGCCCATGATGGACTTTTTTTTCTTCATGTGCTCTTTGTGGCATTCAAAAACTATTGGCCATATATCTTTTATGGAGTTCTCTTTTCACTTGGATCCAGGTCACAGTATTATGATTTTCCTGCTAACTCTTCGATGGTCTCTTTTCCATCCTCTGCTTATTTCATTGGCCTCGCTTAATGTTGATAATTGTAGGAATCAACTTGTCCCTCTTCTATGCTCATTTGACATTGCCTTGTTGGGTAATTAATTCATTCCTATGATGTGAACTATTACCTATATCCTGAGCACTCCCAAATATCTTACACCAGACCACTCTCCTTAGCTATAGACCATGTTTTTCTATTTCTCATGTGTTCCTGAGAGCCCTGTTATTCTTTGTTATGTGTGCTACGACAGCTCCAGAGCTCATGTCTGAAAATTAGTTGTCCTACTGAACTTGACCTTCCATAGCCAATCCCTCATATTTGGTCTGTTCTATCTCTTAAATGCTGCGGGGTCTGACTTGACTCCCTCTTCCCATGGCTGTCTTCTTAGACTAGGACCTGAGCATCCCATTTGGTCTTACTGCCTTTGTCTTGTTTTTTTTCCCCAATCTTTTCTTCTCGTAGTTTCAAAGGCTGTCTTTGTTAAAAAAAAATCTGATCACATCATTCCCTTGCCTAAATGAGATTTTTAATTATCTCTATAAGACCTAGTAACTAACACAGTGCTTATATATACAAGCAGACACTCGATAAATGTTTATTGCATTGATATAAATGGTCCCTTCCATGGTTCCTGATTGCCATAGTAGTATTTCCCAAACTGTTATCTGTAAATAATTTCTTCTGTAATGTGTAAGATTAGTACATATAACTTATAAACTAGATCATCTTTTAAAAAGAGGGTTCAGTAATCAAATAAGTGTGCGAAACACTAAAAATAACAAAGTTGAACCACTTTTCTTTCACTGTAGGCCTTCTCAGGGTCTTTAGTATGCTAATTTACTTTGTGAATTTCCAAGAAGGCATTATATGTAAACTTAGTTATCCATTGAACTCATTTTATTATCAATACTTATTGACAATTCAGACAGCCTAGAGCAGCATTGCCCCCAAAGAACTTTCCGTGATGATGAAACTATTCTCTATCTGCACTGTCTAAAATTATAGCCACTAGCCACATGTGGCTACTGAGCACTTGAAATGTGGCTTGTATGGACTGAGGAACTAAAGTTTTAACTTTAATTAATTTTAATTTATCTTTACATAGTCATATGTGGCAAATGGCTGGACAGTGCAGATGTAGAGGATGAAATCCAAGTTTCTTACTTAGTGGATCCAGCAGATCTCTATCTTTTCTCACAACCTCATCAATAGCCACTTTTTCATGTGTACCATATGATTCGCTCACACAGACCTCATGCGTCTCACAAATACTACATGTACTTGCACATGTTATGCTTTTAAACATATTTTTTCTGTTGCCTTCTCTGCATGATAAAGTCTTCCTCATTCTTCAGGGCTCAGTTTAAGAAATACCTTCTTTCTGAAACCTTCCCTGAACTTTCCAGACAGAATTAGGCATTCTCTTCTTCGCTCAGGCTTCCTGATCTTCCTGATTCATATTTTAGTATTTACCATCTTGTATTTTAGATACTTAAATTTTTGCCTTCCCCCAATGGGTTGTGGTGAGCCCCTTGAGTGTAAGGAAGGATATATTTAATTAACTTTTGTATCCTTTGTGATTTCTATTTGGTATGTGGCTCATAGAATGTTTAATATCAGAATTAATTTCTATTAGAAAGAGTTAACACACTGCTTTTGACTTTCTAGATTTTTTTTCTTTTTTAATCAAAGGAGACAGGGAAACTTTCATTCCTTTTCAGTATCCACTGATTATTAGAAGTTTCTACAAATACCCTAAACTACTTAGAGTTGAAAAGGCCCCACTTCCTTCAGTTTTTTTAATGCTTATGATTTACTTGATCCTATAAACTGCTTAGAAACAGGTTCCCTGTCAAGATAAATTAAGTTTATGTTGGAAAAGAGTAATTAATAGTATTTCCAAGTATGAAATGTTTCCAAATACATTTTTTAAACAAAAATATAACATATGACTGAGTAGGTGAAAATGTAAGGTTCCAACCAAAGTCTTTTTAATATTAGCTTGGACTCACAAAACAGCTAAGTATTAAAAAAAACTTTATTATTACTGTCAACATTTTAATGTGATTATTTTCCTCACTATTGTTATAATTTTTATGTGATGCATTTGTCTATATATTAGTCAAATTCATTATAATAATTTTTATCAGATATTTCTAGGTTATGTGTTAAATATTTAGCACACAATTTATGATACATCTAGGCTGTATCCACAACAATTACAAATATTATTTGAACACTGGTCATTTTTTCTCTTTCTCTTCTGTTCCTCTTCTAATTTTCTTCCTTTCCTCCTCTAGTCCTTTTCCCTCTTTTTTCCCTTCCTTTTCCTTCCTTCTTCCTTCCTTCCTTCCTTCCTTCCTTCCTTCCTTCCTTCCTTCCTTCCTTCCTTCCTTCCTTTTCTCCTTTCTTCTTTTCTTTTTCTTTTTTCCTCTCAACAAATTATTGGACACATATAGATTTGGAAAATAGAACACATAAAGTTTCCCTACCTTGGTCTCTTTAAAATATCTTCTTGCGATCTTACATTTTTCATTTAACAGACAAAATGGTACCTGGGTCCTGATATTTTGATTGGCACCATTTTCAATTTTGTCAAAGGCTATTTAGTGCTTAAGGTTTCCTCTCCAGGGAAAATGTGTTTGAGGTCTGGAGTCAAGAGGATAAATGATTAGATGACGGACAAGTGTGCTACCGGTAGTGATGGGCAAAGGCAGGGATGAGAGAATAGGATAGTTTTCATAGGTGAACTCAAGAAAAATGAGGAATGGGAGGAAAGGCAGGGACTGGCCATATCCTCGAGGTGATTGGGAGTCATTTTCAAATATGTTGCAGGAGAGAGAGAAGACTCAAGCTTTGCATTGTCCAATATGGTAGCCACTAGTACATAGCTAATTAAATTTAATTAAAATAAAATAAAATTTAAAAATCAGTTCCTCAGGTGCACTAGCTATACTTTAAGCACCCAAATACCACATGAAGCTAGTGGCTATCCCAGTGGAAATGTAGACCATTTCCATTACTGTAGAGAGTTTTAGTGGACAGTGCTGATCTTGGCAATGGAAGATGGTGATTATACAGAAACTCATTTTTTAAAACCCATGTGTTTTTATAAGAGAAAACAGGCTCTTGAATATTTAGCTTTTGAAACTGTAAAATTTTCTCTACATTGATAGTGTCCTTTATGGAATTGGTTCTGGGGTTAATGATGGATTCATCTTAATTGGTAGAGAGTGAAAGGAGAAATTAACATCAGCTGAGGGCTTACTATTAATTAGGCATTTTTCCTAGGCATTTTACCACTACTATCATTTAATTCTCCAGTAGTCCTATAGGGTAGTACTATTATCACCATTTTTAGAAATAATGAAAGGATGGCACAGGAAGATTAAGTAGTTTGCCTTAATTTGTAACTGTTTTTGCCAGGGTAGGAAATCAACAATTGCAATATTTTGCTTTAGCCACATAACTTGTTGCCTTAGTGACTACTTCACTTATTTGCATAACTATTCTGTTCTATGCACTTAATATAATAAAACAAGAAACTTATTTAAGCAAGAAACATTACCAGAAATTAATTTTTAAATATGAAATGGCAGCCTGAGTAAATATGGTTCTTTATTTATATTGCTTTATATTTGTACATATAAGTTGATGGCATAAAAAAATACTATTATTTATTGCTATTATACTTCATCGTTGTACAAAATAATTTTATATTGATATATAATTAGTTTTTCCCCATTGCTTTTGTTATTTAGGATGTAGACATATTTCATGACTAATGTTTATTTATGTTGCAAAATAATTTGATATAAACTTAACCTTAGCACTTTAATCTACCACTTGGAGTGTTCTGAGCTAGGCTGACACAGTCTTTAGAGAAGCAGCTATAATTTAATTGGTTCTTGGCCATCCATATTTCTGCTGCAAAACATCCTCAAAATTATATAACCTCACTATTACATACAAGCTGACAAACTTCTAAACTTAAAAGTTTTTGTTGGTCAAATCAAAACAATCATAACATTTAAAATCTTAATCACTTACTAATTTTTTAATGTGATGTTTCAAACTTATACTACAGTCTAAAATAAACCGTAAAGAACAGTTTTGTATATTTGTTCCAGTTTTTTCCTGATGATTTTCAACCAACGGTGTGGCTTATCCAAGTCTTACTTACTAAGTTATATTTTGTGCAATGGGGGTGGGTGTGGTGGTATTCAGGCTACAGACATTTTCAACAGAAAATTAATCATTTGCAACGTCAGCTGTCAGCACAGGTGCCATGGCTCAAGTGATCCACCCAGTTCTGGGAATGGAAAAGCTGACGCGGGACTTTGAAACTTATTTTCCAAATCATCTGGGCAGGAAATAGAGAAGGCTGCACTTTTAAACAATCCTAATAATTTTCAAGTCTTTTTGATATTAGGTGGGTAATTATAATAACTGCAATGGATATATATGCCCATTATGTTTGGTAAATTTTAAATTAAAAAAATCTTAGAGAGCAGTTCTAACACATTCCATGTGTTAGTTTCATCCTATTCAGCCAGTTATAGTTATAAAATCTCTTTCACAGTGGCTATGTTTTACGTAAGTAGATTTAACTATACAGACGAGTTAAAAATATGCTATCATAGAGTAACTTTAACAATGCATTTCCAAGTCCACCGTATTTCCTGCTATTATCATAAATATGGAGAATTTGATGTCTTATGAGTGAATTAATGGACTGAATTTATAAAGACTCCATAATTTTCAATGTCAATACTTTAAAAAATCTTTGTGGTTCCATCTTTCCACAGCTATTGCTGTGAGATGTTTATGGATTTCACCAAAACCCCAACTATATCCATTTGTTTAGTTATTCAAAATCCTACTTCCTCTCTAAACTATTTTTGCCACTCCAGGCAGAATTACTCACTCCTCTCTGTACTCCTACATCACTTGGGCCAGATAGCTATTCTGGCTCTTATTAAATTGAACATAATTACTAGTTTCTATGTCTCTCCTCTCTAGTCCATGACCTCCTTGATCTTACAGACTGCTCCTTATTCTAATCTTATAGTCTGTTCCTTATTCCCGGCTAGCTCTTGGCAGCCGGTTCATATCTTGACATCGATAAATTTCGTGGAGCTAAATTTAGTTTTAACATAGTCTATAGCAGTATTACTCAATATGGTATGATTTCAGATGGTTCTGGTATCATCTGAATGAGAATTACCTGAGTGTTTGCTAGAAGTACAGATTCCTGGGCCTAACAGCAGACCTACTTAAATAGAGTCCTTAGGTGGGGCACAGGACTCTGGACTTATAACGAGGGCTAGGGGACTGTTATGCGCAATGAAATTTTTTGGTATCAGCTTCAGTGATATATAATTCACATACCATACAATTCACCTGTTTAAAGTGTGCCATCACAGAGTTTATTTATTTTTATTCACAGAGTTTGCAATCATCACCACAATCAATGTTTTAACATTTTCTTTATCCGCCAAATCAACTCCATACCTTTTAGCAGTCATTTCCCACACCTCCCAACACTAGGCAATCACTAATGTAGTTTTTGTCTTTTTAGACTTGCCTATCTGGACACTTTATATATAAATGAAATGATATACTATGAGGTCTTTTGTGATGATTTCTTTCACTTAGTATAATGTTTTAAGGTTCATCCATGTTGTAGCATGCATCAGTACCTTATTCCTTTAAAAAAAACTTAAAAACTTTTTCAATTACCGTTGACATTCAATATTATATTAGTTTCAGGTGTACAGCATAGTGGTTAGACATTTGTATAATTTACTAAGTGATCCCTCCTGATAAGTTTTGCACCCACCGAACACCATGTATTATAATATTATCGACTATATTCCTAAACTGTACTTTACATCTCTGTGACTGTTTTAGAACTGTCAATTTATACTTCTTAATCCCTTCAACTTTTTTATCCAGCCCCCTAATCCCCCTCCCATCCAGCAACCATCAGTTTGATCTCTGTATTTATGAGTTTGTTTGTGTTCTGTTTGTTTAGTTATTTTGTTTTTTAGATACCACATACAAGCTAAATCGTATGGTATTTGCCTTTCTCTGTCTGACTTATTTCACTTAGTATAATACCCTCTAGGTCCATCCGTGTTGTTGCAAATGATAAGATTTTATTCTTTTTATGGCCAAGTAATATTCCATTGTATATATGTACCACCTCTTCTTTATCCACTGGTCTTTTGATTGGAGCATTTAAACCATTTACATTTAAAGAAGTATTGATAGGTATGTAGTTACTGACATTTTATTAATTGTTTTCTGATTGCTTTTATAGTTCTCCGTTCCTTTCTTATTCTCTTGCTCTATTCTCTTGTATATTGATGACTTTCTGTAGTATTGTGTTTGGATTCCTTTCTCTTTATTTCTTGTATATCTTTTTGTAGGTTTTGGTTTGTGGCTACCATATGCTTCATATACACCAGGTTATGTTTATAGCAGTGTATTTTAAGTTGATTGTTGCTTAAGTTCGAACACATTCTAAAATCACTACCATTTTCACTTACCCACTCCCCTTTTATGTTTTTGCCATTATTTTTTATTTCTATCACGTATATGTATGTATTTGTATGTATCCCTTAATTTACTGTTGTAATTACACGTGATCTTCCTACTTTTGCCTTTTAACCTTTGTATTAGCTTTAGTGTCAATTAATCTACTGATTTTATTATGTGTTTGCCTTTGTCAGTGAGAAATTTTTTCTTTGTGATGTATTTTCTTATTTGGAAAAAACCTTTTTCTTCTTCTTAAAGAAGTCCCTTTAACATTTCTTGTAATACTGGTGGTGATGAACTCCGTTAGTGTTTTACTTGTCCATCCCCATGTTTGCCTCTTGTGCCTCCGACTATTAATTCTCTGTCTTGTTCAGAAACTTCTGCTTTCCTCTGGTCATTTTTGAAAAATATTTCCAACTTTATTTTTACCTTGAGCTTGTTTTTTTCAAACCATGTGATGTTAGTCAAATTACTTAATTTCTTTTGCCTCAGTTTCCTCACAGTTCTGGAGGCTGGAAGTTTCAAGATCAAGGTGCCACCACAGTCAAGTGAGGGCACTCTTCCAGGTCACAGACCTATCATTGTATCTTCACATGGTGGAAGGTAGTACCAGATTCCTTTTTATTGCTGAATAATATTACATTGTGTGGATATAGTGCATTTTTTTTTACCCATTCATCAGTTGATAGGTATTTTGGTTATTTCTACTTCGAGGGCTATTATGAATAATGCTGTTACAAAAATTTGTGTACGGCTTTTGTGTGGACACACATTTTCATTTCTTTTGGGCATATACCTAGGAGTAGTATGTCTGAATCATATAGTAACTCTCGGTTTTACCTTTTGAGAAACTAGCAGACTACTTCTTAAGTAGCTGTACCATTTTATATTTCTATCAGGGATATACGAAGGTTCCATTTTCTCTACATCTTTGCCTATCTTTTGCCTATCTTCTATTTTCTATCTTTTTTTTAAATATCATAATCACATATATGTGAAGTGTTATGTCATTGTGGTTTTGATTTCCTCGATGGCTAATGATGCTAAGCATCTTTTCATATGCTTATTGGCCATTTGTTTATCTTCTGTGGAGAAATGTCTATTCAAGTTTTTTGCCTATTTTTTTAATTGGATTGTTTTATTGAGTCATAAGAGTTCTTTATATATTCTAGATACAAGTCCTTCATTTGATGTATAATTTACAAATATTTTCTCCCATATCGTGAGTCACCTTTTTATTTTTTGACATCCTTTGAAACACAAAATTTTAATTTTGTCGAAGTTCAATTTATTTTTTCTTTTTAGTTTTGATTTTTGATGTCATATCCAAGAAATTATTGACTAATTCAAGACCTCGAAGATTTACATCAGTTTTATACTAAGAGTTTTATAGTTTTAGCTCTTACCTTTAGTTCTCTGATCCATTTTGAGTTAATTTTTGTATATTGTGTGAGGCAGGATCTAACTTTATTTTTTTGCATGTGAATATCCTGTTATCTCAGCAACGTTTGTTAAAAAGATTCTCCTTTCCCCCATTGAATTGATTGACACCCTTGATGAAAATGAATTGACTCTAATGTGTGGCACAATACAATTCTAGCACCATGTATCTACTGAAACTGTGAGCTGACCATTATGATAAAAGTAATACGAGATAAAGTTATTAACCTCAGACCATTTTAATGATTATTAAAGTCTTGATATGTGTGTTGTAACTCCAAATTTGGTGTGTATTTAAAAATCGTGATGATGGAAAATGGTGAGGTAGGGGTAAGTGGGGGAAGGCTTGTGCTTTCTATTACAAACTATTTAATTCAAGAAACTTACTTGGCAAAATGGTTTTATATCGATTTTTAGTTCCATGACGTGGAATGTCAATTTCTTTGGGATCCACAAAGTTCATTGGTATTTCCTGCAAAAAAGAATAATATCAAGTTAGTGTATCTAATGCATCCACAAAGAAAATCTTCACAGGGGGCCATCTGACCCAGGACTCTATTGGACTTCAAAGTCACTTATAAAACAACAGACTACCTACCACCTCTGGTTGACCAACACCCTTCCTTTCATAAACATAGCAGCTGCAACCTGGCAAGCTGACTCTAAGAAACAGTTCTCTGTGTTAGAAAGTATTATTTTATATGTAGTGATTTAAAAAAACATAAAATTTGGTTAGATTTTAAGAATCCTATTCTGTGTAATTGCTGAAAATACATAAATAGGAAGCTGAAAATTGATATTTTAATAATGTATTCAAATTTCTTTAAATCTTTGTGTAAGTTCAGTACCAAAAATTTCACTATAATGAATTCTCTTTTCACACTAAGTGTGACTTTTAAGGATTATTAAAATTTCCCTCCCCAATGGTAAATAAAAAAGCTTTTTTGTTGATTTGAGTGATGATATGATGCTTTTTTGTATTAAATAGTTTATAATCGTACTGTTCCTATTGTGGTTGTAAATGTAATATTTTTCGTGAAGGACATCCAGATACTGTTTTCTCCACTTTATAAGAATATAAATATTCTTATTCAGCCAAAATATATGTCATGTACCTTAAACAATTGGAGAGAGAAGAATTAGAGCCAAACTAGCTCTGTGAAAATGCATTCGACCTAAAAGGTGAGTATCTGTAGCTGACTGAGGCAAAAAACAAAAAGCTCAAGCTTTCGAAAAGGTCAAAACAAATATTTAAAGATTCTGTTATACAAAATGTTCTCTGACTTAAAATTCTACTAAGGATTGCTTAGATAAAATTAATGTGAAATAAAATGACTTTCATCTCTAGACCACATAAAGTAATATTTTTGTTACTTAAACTTTCTTCAATGGAAAATCTTAACTCAAAAGCCTAATATTCATTAAAAGGAAAGAAATTATCTATAAATTAATTCAAAATGTATAGTTTTCAGCCAATCTCAATATTCGAGAAAAGTCTGACTATATTATGAATTTGAGACTTGGTCTACAGAGAGAAGTAGCTTACTTTTAAAATATCATTTCCTAAACTTGTATTACTTTAGATATTTATAATATTTATCCCTACTCTCTGCTCCAATGAAATGTTATACCTTCTCAGTCTAAGTTACCAAAATAAGCAAAATTGTTGAACAGTCAGTAGCAACCACATATCCATGTTTAGTGATTTCAAGCAGGTCAGTCTGTTTTGGCAAAGCCTTGGAGTAGGCAATATCTTTATTCCTGTTTTCTGACTCACACTGACAATTTGTCATCTTCCAGTATTATCTCTCTCTTCCATACTCCCTGTTGGCCCCATCTTTCCTTTAAGGGAAGTAGGTTATGTTAAGGGCTTATCTCAAAAAACAAAGACTATCTGTGGTTCTAGAAAAAAAATACTAGATGTACCTTTGGCTAGTCATATAGTCATTGACTGCTTGTATCATCTAAGTCTCATTTTCTTCATATATAAAAAGATGACACTACAAAGTCTAACTAACAAATTGTACATTTATGTTTTTCTTTAAACACCTAATAATAGCTGATGAAGCTAACAGTAGATCTAACTATTGCTGGATCTTTCAGCATGAGAATAGTTGCAAACATATGTACTGACCCTAGAATGATCAATTTATTATTCTTAACAGTTATGGCTTAAGATGTAGAACCAAATTAAGATTTAAAGTACTCTATAAAATAAATGTTTCCTTTGGGCAACAATTAGAGCTAATTGTTAGAAAGTATTGTTAGAAAGCAACACTGATGAGTCACCATCATTTTCAGCTGAAACTTGGAATCATTTTTACCCAAATTTGATCTTCCCTGTGTTCTTTATTTTATTAAAGGACCCTATATGCACCCTGTTTCTCAAGTCAAAAAACTGGGATATCATCCCTGACTTCTCCAAACTGTTACAGCAAGGCTGTTCCTTCTTTCTGTAATGCCCTTTCTCTGCCCAGCTCCTTTTTGCTGCTTCTTTGTCTGGCCAGCTCTGCCTTTATTTAGCCATCACATTCTAGTTTGAACACATTAATAGTCGATGAGTAGCAGGGTGGATCTAAAACTCTTGCACTTAACCTTCTGAACTGTAATCATTTCTTTACTGTTCAGTGGAGTGTTGTGCCATTTTAGTATGTGCCTCTGATGCCTCATTTATCAAAATACTTGAAGAACAATTAATAAACAGCAGGCTCACCATGAATTCACTTTGGAGTAAGTGTGAACTTGCCACGACGTCCCTCAGCTGTGACCTTGTGAGAATTCTGCTGGCTGACTGCAGATACTCCATTGTGACCTTCTCCCGTGGGGTTGGAATAGCCACAAAGGGTTCAATATTCCCCAAGCTACTCATGTCTAATGTAAGAGATACGTTGGACCCTCGTCTATATTGGAGAAGAATGTTATTAGATTTAATCACCAAATGAATTATTTTGATTGCACAAAATTACCTTTCTGTACATATGCATAATTCAGTGAACACTTTTACAGAAATAAGGACCAAATATCTTTTTCTCTTATGGTGCCATAGTTGACTATAGCATCTATACATAGTTTCTCTACAGGGAACTGATGACTTTATTGTTGGAAATATGTACTATCATTTGTTAATGGATATGTTTTTATTTATAGAAATAATAAGATGGCTAATCATATGAAGTGAAAAATTTAGGAAAAATAAATATCACACTCAAATGAAGAAATCAGATGTAACACAAATCAACTATTTTTATGTTTGTCTGAGAGTCCAGTATATAAATCATATAGCCATCTAATATTTTTGACACCAATATTCTGTTGTCATGATTTTACTAGACACGGAAAGCTTTGAGAAAACACATCCCTTTATTTTGGTTTAAATTATTGTTATTGAAATAGAATTTAAAGTTTTAAAAATGTATGTATTTTTTATAACTCTGACTGATTCCCTAAAAGATAGCATTTGTATCCTGCATTTATGTACATATGTACATATGCATGTATATGTGTGTATGTTTGAATATGTATGTATGTATTTCTTTAATTCAGTGATAAATTCATGAGGACCATAGAGATCACAGACCCTTATTCTGAGTTACAATTTATCTTCCCTCTGTAATTTCCTTCCTTTCATTGGGAGGAGTGGTAGGGCTCTTCCAAGCTTATAAAGGCCCCTTGTGTCCTGAATAGAAGGTGTGAGTGCCTCTTACCAGTAACATTAGCTGTGTAGGACCAAGGAGTAACTATAAAATCGCATGTGTGAGACTGAGGGTCAAAACCAGAGACTGTATTCATAAGAATTGTTAAACTTAAAGGGGCCTTAGATATGTGACAGGTCATTAAATATGGTGCCAAGTGGTTGATGTCCCAAAGAAATGGAGAGCAGGGGAAAACAGGTCAAGACAAATGAGAGTAAAGACAATAAGAGTAGATACTAGGCCCAGCATATTATTTCCTTTGAATGATGTTTTACATGCTTATTATGGAATACTTCATCAGAAACTATTCAAGCAGCCAGAGCTTAATTTTAAACTGGAAAATTATTAGAACATAGAACAAAAACCTTATTAAACAATAACATCAGTTCCTGCCTCCTCTGTATCTGCTTCTGGTTGCAGCTTTGCTGTCATTCTATGATTTTGTATGTGATGTTGTCATTTTGGTTAATTTCGAAATGGTTTGTAGTTGTAGTTTTTAATTCCTGCTCTTACTTGGCAGTTATTTAAGTATTTGTACTTACTTTTTTTCCTCCTGGATTTCTTAAAGTCTGGGATATGTATGTGAGTCTTTCACATTAATTGTGTTTGTTATTTTTTCTTATATTTCTATCAGGTTTTACTTTATGTATTTTAGATAATTATGTTTCTTGAAGAGATTCATAATTATATCTTCATTATAAATTTTATCAATATTAAATACTTTCTTTACCATTAGTTTTGTTTGGCATCACTTCTGACTTTTTAAAAAATTAATATTGACATACCTGCTTTTTTTGGCATGTTTGTAAAAAACTTTTTCTAGTTCCTATTATCATTTTTCACTCTTTTGGATCACTGCATTAGGGATTATTGGATAACATTCTGGATACCCATAAGATGTCACCAACCTATTAGGGGGATGTTTGTCCCCCTCCCTTTTTTTGTGTATGTGGAGGGCAGGCTATTGATGGTGATGGAAAAGGCTCCTGTATTTCTGGGTAAAAGGTAAATGGTTGAAGAGAAGCAAAGAGTGGTTCTGCTTTGAGGCCAAGAATTTTAATCTATTTTTAGTGGGAAAGTAGTTTTTAAAGTTTCTCAGTCCAGTTCTTCTGGCCTTTAAATTGTCAGAAATTTCTTCCTGATTCTGATAATAAGCTGTCTATTGGTTTTACTTTTAATTTTGTTCAACTGGCTATTTTTTTATTAGTTTCAAGTATATGGTATATTGGTTAGAAGTTTATATATTTTATAAAACTATCCCCTTTTCTCTCCTCTCTCCACCTAGCCATTACATTAATGCTAACTGCGTTTATACATTTTATAAAACTATCCCCTTTTCTCTCCTCTCACTCTCCACCTAGCCATTACATTAATGCTAACTGCATTTCCTGTGCTGTGCTCCCCATTCCCATGACCATCTATCAGCTACTAATTTGTACTTCTTTAACCCTTCACACCTTTCTCCCAGCTCCCAATCCCCCTCCCCTCTGGCTGTCACCAGATTGTCCTCTATATTTGTGAGTCTATTTTTGATTAGTTTGTTCCTTTTGTTCCTTAGATTCCTCATGTAAGTGATATCATATGGTATTTATCTTTCTCTGTCTTACTTTATTGGTCTTACTTTTTAGTGTACTTGTGAGAATTTGGTTTTTGCTGGTTTCACAGATATTTTAGAAAGAAGTTGGGAGAGGCTACTTAAGGGATTGCCAATCAGACACCATTTTAAACCATTATTCCATTCAGTCAAGTTTCAGTTCCAAAAGACAAAAGTATCTGCAATCTGTCAATTGAGTGACCCCGGTACTACAGGTGTTTAGTGGAAGGTGAGATCTCATCCATCCAGAGTGGTCAGAGCAGATGTATGAAGGAGGAGGCATTGAATTGAGCCTTGAAAGTAAAAGTTCAACAGAGACATTTTGGGTAGAGGGTTATTTCAGAGAGAGACCCTGGCAGGAGAAAAAGTGTGGGAACAGAAAATGATAAGGCATCTTTGAAAAATGGCATATAAGCAGTTTAAGCTAGAGTTCAGTGGTATGAAAATGTATTTTGGAATTGGAGGACAGGGTTATGTAGGAGAGATGAGAGGGAGGCAAGGATCATGAAACTGCAAGACTAGAAAAGTCTGTTCAAACCCATAAAAGAGAGAATTCAGAACATCAGATTATACCAACTTCTGTTTTGGCTTCCTACAGCATATCTTGCCCAAACCTGGGATAAAAGCCTCTGGGATCCCACACTTAACATCCATTTGATTTTGTAAGTAACTTCTCTAAGGATTCTGTGATAAACCGTGAACAATGGAAGCATTTTCATGTAAATTGACTTAGTAAAGGAAGAATGACTTTTGTCTGGCAAAGGAAGAAAGGAAACTAATATTTATTAAACATCTATTATTTGCCAAGCACTGTTCTAAGCACTTTCACATATGGTATCTCAATCTTCACAGCAGCTCTCTGAGTTATTATTTTTCCTTATCTTACAGGTGAAGAAATAACTAACAGGAACACAATAGTGGAGCAAAGGTTCAATTCAACTTAGAATTTAAAACCCAAGCTCTTTCTGTTCTGCCACTCAAAAGCCAGAGTATAATGGGCAGGTTATATTAGACTATACAGTGCCTTACATGGAGTTGGAGTCAGTGGTTGGGAGGAAAGTCAAGATTACTGAAGTATAATGTGGAGGCAATACAGTATTCAAGAGTACAAATTCAATTTTTACCGTCATATATGTCTGGGCCCAAATCCTGCCTCTCCCATGGCCCCGTGGTGGATCTCTGGTTGGGCTACTCAGCCTTGTTGCATCTCAGTTTCCTCCTCTTTTGTAAAACAAATGATTAAGTATATTTACTTCAGAAGGTTATTACAAAGATTAACCAGATAGTGTAAGTAATGTAGGGAGGAGGAAAGAGAATTCGATTGTTAATCAAGCCACAATCAGAGACTGCAATGTGCTGATCAGCCCTACAGCCAGGCCAGAAGGACACCTTCAGCACAAAGGAAGATTTCTACTGGGATCGCTAACAGCCCATTCCTCACACCTGTGGAGGGGAAACGGGAACCAAGAGTCATTCCCTATGGCTAAAACCATGGGGGAGCCTATGGATTAAAGGCTGGGAACTGCCGGCAGGCCTTTCACTCTACGTATTCTTACTTTTCACACTACATACTCTTCTTCTTTCTCACTGCATGTCCATATCGAAGGAAATGGGAACTAAAGGATGACATATAGACTGAATTCCTCCAACACTCAAGGTCCCTCTCAGTACCTGTTCTCTGTCTCTCTCACTGTCCTTGTCTCTACTGTTTCTCTCCCTCTGAGAGTCCCTCTCAGTGTCATTACTCTGTCTCTCACTGTCTCTTGCACTGTCACTCTCACTCTCTGCCTCTGAGGAGACCACACTCTGTCTGTGGAGTATTAGCCTTTTTCTAATAAACTTTCCTTTGACTCAAACTTTGGCGTGTGTGTTGAATTCTTTCTTCACTCTCCGTCAAAAGACATTTTCTTGGTGCAGGGCTTGTTCTCCCTGTCACTTGGGGAAATTTGCCCTGGCCTACATCATAAGAAAACTGCTTATAAAAAGTGATGACTGTTATTAAATTTGAGTGATAATAAATAAAGTTCTACATAACTCTCACCTCCTGCTTCTCTAAGAGATCTATTTTAAGAGATCTTCACAAAAACTTGAAAATTGTTTACACTGAGATTATTTTTAATGCTTGGAGATCATTGGGTAGAATCTACACATTTTTCACTAAAGAAAAATACATTCATACATCCTTCTTGATAACCTATTTATCTTAAAATTTCCCTTTATTATGGCAGACCCATTTCCCCCCAATCCTAAACAATTCCAGAGCACTTCACCTCAACACTTCAGACAATGTCTTAAGTTCAATTATGGAGTCAAACTTGCACAGACTATTGACCTTACAGAGAGCACTTTCTACAAAACAGCCTTTGTCAGGATAAGTACTCATCTACCCTGGCTGTGACATATTATCAACGGATGTCATTAACTTGGAAAAAAAGCCTCTTTTCTTAATTCTTATTTTTAAGGAACAAACTATTTAGGTTTATCTAAATACGGTGAAATTAGGAAATTGTGTGAGTAAAATCAACTTAAAAATGTGGCAATTTCTTAGTCATGCCTTGTGCTTGGAGAGGAGAGTAAATATACATCCATATATATTTTAAAGTGTTATTTTTCC